CAATAAAATACTGGCATACTGAATCCAGCAGCACATCAAAAAGCTTATCCACTATGACCAAGTTGGCTTCATCTCCAGGATGCAAGGTTGGTTCAACATACACAAATCAATAAATGTGATTTACCACATAAACAGAACTAAAGACTAAAACCACATGATTATCTCAGTAGATGCAGAAAAGAACTTCAATAAAATTCAACATCTCTTCATGTTAAAAACCTCAATAAACTAGGTATTGAAGGAACATACCTCATAATAATAAAAGCCATGTATGACAAACCCACAGGCAACATCATACTGAATGGATAAAAGTTGGAAGCATTCTCCTTGAAAACTGGCATAAGACAAGTTTGCCTTCTCTCACCACTCCTATTCAACAGTATTAGAAGTCCTGGACAGGGCAATCAGGCAAGAGAAAGAAATAAAGCGTATTCACATAGGAGAGAGGAAGTCAAATTGTCTTTGTTTGTATATGACATAACCCTATATTTAGAAAAACCCATTATCTCAGCCCAAAAGCTTCTTAAACTGATAAGCAACTTCAGCAAAGTCTCGGGATACAAAATCAATGTGGAAAAATCACTAGCATTCCTATACACCAACAACAGGCAAGCTGAGAGCCAAATCATGAATGAACTCCCATTCATAATTGCTACAAAAAGAATAAAATACCTAGGAATACAGCTAACAAGAGGAGTGAACAACCTCTTCAACGAGAACTACAAACCACTGCTCAAAGAAAGCAGAGAAGAAACAAACAAATGGAAAACATTCCATGCTCATGGATAAAAAGAATCAAGATCATAAAAATGGCCATACTATCCAAAGTAATTTACAGAGTCAATGCTATTCCCATCAAACTACCATTGACTTTCTTCACAGAATTAGCAAAAACTATTTTAAAATGCATATGCAATCAAAAAATAGTTCAAATAGACAAGACAGTTCTAAGCAAAAAGAACAAAGCTGGAGGCATTATGCTACCTGACTTCAAACTATCCTACAAGGCTACAGCAACCAAAACAGCATGATACTGGTACAAGAACAGGCACATAGACTAATGGAACAGAATAGAGGACTCAGAAATAAGACTGCAAACCTACAACCATCTGATCTTCAACAAACCTGACAAAAACAAGCAATGCGGAAAGAATTCTCTGTTTAATAAATGGTGCTGGGAGAACTGGCTAGCCATATGCAGAAAATTGAAACTGGATCCCTTCCTTATACCATATACAAAAATTAAGTCAAGATGGATTAAAGACTTAAATGCAAAACCTAAAACTGTAAAAACCCTACAAGAAAATCTAGGCAATACCATTCAGGACATAGGCATGGGCAAAGATTTAATGACAAAAACGCTGAAAGCAGTTTCAACAAAAGCGTAAATTGACAAATGGGATCTAATTAAACCAAAGAGTTTCTGCACATCAAAAGAAATATCAGAGTAAACAAACAACCTACAGAATAGGAGTAAATTTTTGCAATCTATCCATTTGACAAAGGTCTGATATCTAGAATCTACAAGGAACTTAAACAAATTTACAAAAAAACTCAAACAACCCTATTAAAAAGTAGACAAATAACCTGAACAGACACTTCTCAAAAGAAGACAATTATGTGGCCAATAAACATATGAAAAAAAAGCTCAACATCACTGATCATTAGAGAAATGCAAATCAAAACCACAATGAGATACCATCTCAAAATCACAATTACTTTTGTACCAATCTAATATTAAATATTAAAAAGTTGAAAAGACAACAGATGCTGGAGAGGTTGTGGAGAAAAAGGAATGCTTTTACACTGTTTGTAGGAGTGTAAATTAGTTCATCCATTGTGGAAGACAGTGCAGTGTGGTGATTTTTCTAGAGGCAGAAATACCATTTGTCCCAGCAATCCCATTACTGGGTGCATACCCAAATAATTATAAATTATGCTAATATAAAGAAACATGCATGCATATGTTCATTGCAGCACTATTCATAATAGCAAAGACATGGAATCAACCTAAATGCCCATCAATGATAGACTGGATAAAGAAAATGTGGTACATAAAACACCATGGAATACTATGCAGCCATAAAAAGGAATGAGATCATGTCCTTTGCAGGGACATGGATGGAACTGGAATCTGTTATCCTCAGCAAACTAAGACAGGAACAGAAAACCAAACACTGCATGTTCTCACTTATAAGTGGGAGATGAACAAAGAGAACACATGAACACATGGGGTGGGAATCAACACACACTGGGGTATGCTGGAAGAGAGGGTGTGGGAGGGACAGCACCAGGAATAGCTAATGGATGCTGGGCTTAATACCTAGGTGATGAGATGACCTGTGCAGCAAACCACCATGGCACAAGTTTACCTATGTAACAAACCTGCACATCCTGCGCATGTACCCCTGAACTTAAAGTTGAAGAAGAAAAAAAGAAATAACTACAGTAACAAGCAATTAAGTAGTTTCTATCTCCCAGGTGTTGTGCCCTGCATAACCTTGCATGACATGTTGTTATGATTATTTTACTCATGAGAAAAACAAAGCTTTAAATTGTAGGAAATTTACCAAAGGCCATACAAGAGACAGTGCTAAGATTTTAAGGTCCTTCAGCCTAAAAAGTGGCATCTTTTGTTTATTTTTTATTTCAACACATTTTACTCAGTCATTATAGTAAAAAAGGAAAGGAATGGCATTTACAGAATGCGTTTCTTTATGACGTCTTAAGCTGGTCCCAATTTTTCCAATTAATTGGGTGTTTATATGTGTAACCTAGATATCAGCCAAAGTCACTCTATTCTTTGAGTCGAGAAATACATAAAATTTTCCAGAAGTCTTTCTCCTACATCTTGCAAAAGGGCCACTGTGTTCCCAAGACTACGGTTTCTCTTGGAAAATTCTGACTTGGAGTTCCAATATAATATCTTGGCTCAAACTTCTCGCTCTTACTCAGACTCAATTTCATTCTCATCTCTAATCCCTCACCTATGGCTTCTGTTCCCTATTCACTGCCATAGTTTGAATATTTGACCCTCCAAACCTCATTTTATAATTTGATTCCCAATGTAGGAGGTGGGGCCTGATGGGAGGTGTTTGGGCCATGGGAGTGGATCCTTCATGAATAGATTAATGCCCTCCTTGAGGAGGCAGGGGCGAGTGAGGGAGTTTTAACTCTATTAGTTCCCGAAAGAGCTGGTTGTCAAAAAGAGCCTGTCATCTCTCTCCTCTCTCTTGCATCCTCTCACCAAATGGTCTCTGATATACACATAAGCTCCCCTTTATCTTTCAGCACAAGGGGAAACAGCCTGTGGCCCTCACCAGATGCAGATATCCAATCTTCCAGCAAGCAGAATTGTGAGCCAAATAAACCTCTTTTCTTTTCTCCAGCCTCTGGTATTCCTTTATAGTAACACTAAACCAAGACTTTTACCCACGCATAAGACTTCTTGGTTTTCCCTCTAAAACATGCACATAATAAGAATGTATGTCAGGCCTGGAGAGATGGAGGGTGTTTAAATCACAGAAACACAAACAACACTGAATGTTCAATTTCCTTTGACTCAAGATACCTTTAAGGCTCCTTGCTACTGGGAATCACTCACTTCCCCATTTTATGCCCAACCTCCATTTTCTCACTTTGTTGATTCCCTTTAACCCCCTTCAAAACTCTCCTAATGTCTTTTCTCTAGAAGAGTCTTTAAAATTTTCATTATTTTATCCTTAACTGATTTAGGGTCAAAATTTTGTTGTTTCTTAACAACAAAATAGCTAGAAGAGAGGATTTGAATTTTTCTCCACACACAAAAAAGATACACATTTGAGACAATGGATGTGCTGAATACCCTGACTTGATCACTACACATCGTATACACGTATCAAAATATCACATGTACACCATAAATATGTACAATTATTATGCATCAATAAAAAGTATAATAATAAAAACACAGGCAAGCAAGAAAGAGGAGACAAGGATAACTCAGAATTTTAGAGAATGGGGTATTCAAGGAAGTCAAAAAGAGAAATGTATTGGCAAGATCAAAAGTAAATTTGTTTCAAACATGCAATAAAGATACTGCATTACATTTGAGTGGAGAAATCAATCAGCCAGCTGGAAATACCAAAAGGAGATTCTAAGAGAGATTAGGACAGATGTAGATGCTCACACAGTGGTTAATAGTTGAAGACAAAATGGTGGAGTGTGATTAAACATACATAGAAAGAGTGGAGCATGGGGATGGGAATAAGTATAAGAGAGGAGATACAGGATTTGAAGAAATGGTTATATTTAAAAGAAAGGACAAGGGGAAACATAGAAATACAGGAAAACTAGGATGCTAAAACATAGAGGAAGATGAGCAAAGAGACATTTTTACACAGAAGAGGCAGGACAAGAGTGACAAATGTTCCAGGAAGTAAAAATCAACAGTGTAAAGATGGCAACAAATTCCAGGATTAGGAGACTAGTAGTGTCATGAATAAAGGTAGTTTAAGTGAAGCAGTAAGAGATAAAAAGCCAAGGAGCAAGGGTTACATAAATGAATAAAAAACTCCAATTGTGACATGTTTGAATTTTAAAAGGAAAAAAAAAAATTGTAAGACTCAAGGTAGATAAAAAGCTTATTTCAGTATATAGAAGACTGAGTATTTTTTAGGCAAAATGTACCCAGTAGAGTAGGAAAGATTAAAAGATAATTCCCACACACTCTATTCAACAGAGCCCGAGGTTATAATGCTATTTGTCACTGAAACAATTTACCTCAACAGTATATGTGTGTGCGCGTGTGTGTGTGTATGCTTACATAGTTCAATGCATGTATACACACACACACACAACTGGTTATAGAACAGTGTCAAACACTGAAAGCTATTGTATACTCTAAGTCAGTGAGTTTTAATGCTTCCAAATGGAAGTAATCTCAGCTACTACACCATTCTGAGACGTCGTTTTTGTTTACTTAATGCAAACTCTTTCTCTGATTTTATTTTATATTCCAGAAAACACCAAATGTCTGACCCACAGTTTGGACTAATAATGGCTAACAAAGTATGCTGGGACTACAACCACCACAAGGAGACAAAGAAAGAATGTTTGATGTAAACATAAAGGTTTTGCAACAGTTCCAGGTATCATCAGGAAAATGGCCAAATTAATAGAAAGTAATTAATGACAATTAAGAAGGGCTACAAAAACTTCACTGAAGCTAGAAAGGATTGACAACCAATTACATTAGTTGTAGCTGGAAAAAACTGTGGCTGACAGCCAGTTATGATTTCAAGAAGTTTGGAGAAAATAGAAGATATTTTACCAACAGACTATTCTGGTAACAACTTCCAAAGAGGCTGTACCACAAGGACTCAATAGAGCGCTGATTTGGTTGTACCTGCAATTCCAAAAGTGCATACTACAGGTAAAAAGGGATGGAACAAGTGCCCAGAGAAAGATATGGATACAAACAGAAGAATTATCCTTGGAAAGGACAGATGTGTCCTTCTAATTTCTCACACCACTAAAATAGACAACAATTTAGAGGTTTCGAGATGGAGAGTTGAACTGAGATCATAGGAATTGAGGCCATCTGTTAGGCCTAGAGTAAGGAGAGAATTCGGAAAAGATTTGGAAAAATAAATAGATAAGTTTTGGAGCAGCATTTTGACGGATACAGTAAGTAGACTTCTGCTTCTAAAAATGTGAATTATACACAGAACATTTCTATCCTGAATCTCCACCAAATAACAATAAGGGAATAAGAAAAGGCACAAGAGCAAAGTTAAGAGAAGAATAAGGAGAAGATCTGAGATTTTAATAAATAGTTAAAAGCTAGCAAGAAGAAGGATAATTGGAAATCCACTTAGAAATCTTTAGAATGCTAAAACATACTCTTGCAATGGTAAAAATAAGAGGCACCATAATGTTTCATTACAGTAAGTCTCAGGAATTTGAAGTACCAGATATTTCTAAGTATGGACTTAAAACAAAAAGATTGGCCAAAAGTCATTTTACAAAGGCGTTGGACTCTCAGATTGTCTCTGTCACACAGTGCAGCAAGGTAATCCTCCTCCTCAATCCAGCAGTGGGTTTCCAGGGTTGATGGCACCATTGGAGCTTCCTATTATATCAGAGGTAGCATGGTTTTGGGTCAGCTGAAGCAACAATGGCCTCACCAGGCCAGCTCTGCAGTGTTCCTACTCTGGAAGCTGTTTCTGAAAATTCAGCCATAGATATATTGTTTGTTCATTTAATCTGTGAACTATCTGACACCCTTCAGTAAATTACTTCCTGGTTAAAGTAGCTACTAAGCTTAAAATATGTGCTTCTTAAGACCCAATAATTTCACCCTTAAGTACATACACAATAAAAATGAACATATCTGTATCTACTGAAAGACTTGTTAAAAAAATGTTTACGGGACCAGGCGTGGTGGCTCACTCTTGTAATCCCAGTGTGTCCGGAATTGGTTCCTTCCAGTGGGTTCTTGGTCTCTGGCTGACTTTAAGAATGAAGTTGCGGACCCTCACAGTGAGTGTTACAGTTCTTAAAGATGGCCTGTCCAGAGTTTGTTCCTTCAGATGTTCAGATGTGTCCAGAGTTTCTTCCTTCCAGTGGGTTCGTGGTCTTGCTGACTTCAGGAATGAAGCTGCAGACCCTCACGGTCAGTGATACAGCTCATAAAGGTAGTGTGGACACAAAGAGTGAGCAGCAGCAAGATTTATTGTGAAGAGCAAAAGAACAAAGCTTCCACAGTGTGGAAGGGGACCCTTGCTGCTGCTGGCTCGGGTAGCCAGCTTTTATTTCCTTATTTGGCCCTGCCCATATCCTACTGATTGGTCCATTTTACAGAGCACTGATTGGTGAATTTTTACAGTGTGCTGATTGGTGCATTTACAATCCTTTAGCTAGATATAGAGCACTGATTGGTGTGTTTACAATCCTTTAGCTAGACAGAAAAGTTCTCCAAGTCCCCACCTGACCCAGAAGCCCAGCTGGCTTCACCTCTCACCAGCACTTTGGGGGGCCGATGTGGGTGGATCACGAGGTCAGGAGATCAAGGCCATCCTGGCTAACATGGTGAAACCCTGTCTCTAATGAAATACAAAAAATTAGCTGGGCATGGTGGTGGGTGCCTGTAGTCCCAGCTACCCGGGAGGCTGAGGCAGGAGAATGGTGTGAACCCGGGAGGCGGAGCTTGCAGTGAGCCAAGATCATGCCACTGCACTGTTGCCTGAGTGACAGAGCAAGGCTCTGTCTCAAAAAAAAAAAAAAAAAGTTTATGGCAGCTCTATTTACAGACAAAACCCAAAATGACCATACCAAAAAAAAAAAAGAAAATAGATAAATTACAATATCAATGGAATACCACACATCAATTTCCAATAAAAATACAAACTACCACTACACATAACATGGAATAATCTCACTGACATTGTTGAGCAAAAGAAAACAGAAACAGAAAAAGACTTACCATATGAACCTATATATAGGAAGTTTAAAAACAGGCAAAACTAATCTCTGGTGATAGAAGTCAGAATGGTGGTTACCTCAGGAGAGGGGTACAAGAGGCATGTAACAGGAAGAGGCAAAGAGTAGGCTTCCAAGCTGCTAAAGATATTCTATGTATTCATTGGGATGCTGGATACAGAGTAAACATATTTAAAACTCCACTGGGCTATGTTTATGTTATACCTCAATTTAGCAAGAAAGAAAAGAAGCAGAAGGAGGAAGAAAGGAAGGGAGAAAGGGCAGAAAAAAGGGGGAGAGAAAGGAAGGGAGAGAGGGAGGAGGGGGAGGGAGAGAAACAGGAGGCAGGCAGGCTAGTGTGGACTCTGTTGCTGGCAATCAGAAGCTCTGATTCAAACAAGAGTAAATAAGAAATAAATAATGGGATTAGATGGTCAGAATTTCTACTGGGCTTAAATCTGCATTTTCTCCAGCAATGACCATAAGCTCTGCGGTAAAGTCGGAGGAAGAGGGCTAACATTGAGAGCTCTTTTCACATGCTTTCTCATCTAAACCATACAATCACTCGAAGAAGGTATTACTATCTTCACGTTTTAGAGTAAGTGATGGGGACAGAAAAGTTACATCATTTGTCTGAGAATAAAGAGCTAATTAATAGAACTGAAATTTGATTCAAGTCAGCCTGACTTCACTGACCATGTTCTTTCCATAACTCTGCTCAGAGAAGTAGGAAGCCTGGGTTAGGAGTCTGGGAAAGTGGATGTCATGGAAGGTCAACAGGCCATAGTAGTCCAGGGAAAACTCTTTACTGGGTCCAATTCAGGTAGAAGTTAAAACGTCATCAGGAAACAAACTGGAAAATAAAGTTGGATTAAATTTTCAGAGACCATTATTAATATGAAGAGCAGATACAGTATGAAAGGGAAGAAGTTGTAGGATTAAAGCCTGGGGTCTAGGAGATAGAAGTTTCAAGAGTGATGAAACTATTCAACTGGTGGGTAACAGTTGAATATATGAATACTCAAAATATATTTTGCAAGCATTTATCATTTCCAGATGATGGAAATGTAGCACAGGCCTACTCTCAGTCATAGTTTGTTGGTAATAAATCAAGAGGAATATATCAGAAATTACAGTCTTATGGCAATAAGAAACAGGACTGGTTCAGTGAACTCAAAGGTCAAAAACAACACAGTAATGTGAAATATTAAGGACAACTTGCTAATGATGTGGACAAGCAGGTCAGTCTTTCAAATTCAATTCCATTTTATTTTGTAAAACCATATACCTATTTTATTTTATTTCTACTTTTTGTTGTTTTTTTTTCAGTTATTGCATAATTTGCTCCTTAAATGTAATGTTTGGGAAATGCTTAATAATTGTTCTGGTTTGGCCAATACTGGCCAAATTAATAGAACTGATAAGATCTATTAATCTTAAGAACTTTTCAGTTTTTTAACCACAAATACAGAGGAGGCTGAAATCCTACAAGCTAAGAAAAAAGTATTCTAAATTTCTGTCTCTCAATTTCTTCCTCATTCTTCTCTCTTTTCCTACTATTTCTTTTTTATATGCATATAAATATGAGGAGAAACATAAAAAAAGAGGACAGAAAATTCCTTTGCAATGATGATAACAGTATTAGGAAAGGGACTTACTAATCCTTACTAAGTACTTACTACTTACTAAGTACTACTTACTATTGTTAGTGAATCTTAATTTCAGGTCTAAATCTTTCCTAAATAATCAATATATTACATGTTTATACCATAACTGCTTTCCTTTTAGGTTTGTGTGTCAAAGTGATAGTCAAAATGCGGGTACACAGAACTCAGATACACCGCTATGGTGAAGTGGCTCGACCCTTTCAAGTCTCTTATAATTGAGTCTCCCTAGAAGCTATGATGATATCAAACTTGTAGTTCATGAAGAGGCTACTACACTGAGCTTGCACACCACATCGGAAAACCAAATTTTCTGGGGGAAAACCCATGAAAATTCCTGGAGTAATATTGCTGCATTTTCCTGTATTTGAAATAAATGTTCTTCTCTAGTATGTACTTAGTATTTTCCACGAACCAGAAATTTCACTCCACACCTCTGTGTTCACAGTTACTAAGTTTCAGATTTGTTTCCAGGGTTAATATAATAAGATTTTCATTTTAATTTTTCTAGACTATCTTCCAGAAAGAGAAAATATAATGACTGAGGAATTAAGAAAAATATGCTTTGTTTTTGTTCTCGTGTTTTAAGCAAAGCACAGGGAAACACTCATGTAAGCGGAGCACACATACTTAATTAACTGGAACCCCATGACTTTGTAAGTGGAGATCTTGGAGGATGACTCACAGTTTTAGGCAGAGAACTCTTCCTAGAAGTCCAACATTTTGAAGACATCTCCATCACCTAGAAGCATCCAGAGATAAAGAAATTACTATAGTGCCACATTGTGGTGAGTTCAAGAACAAATGTTAAAAACCTCTGCCTTTTAGCACAAATAAGCAAATAAAAAAGGAGCCACTTCTATCAGATCAGCTGGGGCTCTGACACTTAACATTTCTTTGTGGATATAAATCAAAGTGAAGCAAACATGTTAGTCTTTTTGCAAATGCTCCAGTGCTGTTTTTTAAAGACTTGTAAGAATTAAATCATCAAATAGACACCTAGAAACCCGAAACCCATGCAGGCTTCAGTGACGGCAGTGCATGGATATGAAAGAAATTTTTAGACAGCTGTTTGATAGAATTGACTAGCAAATTTCTCCAGTTACTCATCACAGTAATATAACATTTTCCCACCCTCGAACACTGATGAAAAGATTTCTGTATTTATCTTTCCTGATCCAAGTCATAGCAGGTAAAGGCAAGAAAACCACAGGGGAGTGACTGAATTGTGAACCCTTGAGTTTACAAACTGCCTGAGACCACATGGGGCCATTCCCTACACACAGGTTAATTCTGAGCCTGAACTCAGGGTTTATTTCCAGGGCCTGAAGAAAGCAAACATGGAGTAGTCAGGGAGTTCTCAAGGGCCACAATACAAGAACATTCCTGGGTAATCGCAGGCCAAACTAGTTCATCTGTGTAGGCTGTGGAGGCACTACAGGAATACACCCCTTTACCTGCCCAAATCCACTGCTTCTCAGGCCCACTCTTCATTCAGTCCTGTGGGAAGAGTCTTCTAAGGGCACTGCAGACACCAAGTTGCAGTGATTAAATGGGCCAAATTCATATTGAAACTTCAGATCTTTCATAAAGTCATCTTTAGCTTGGCTAAAAGAAGTTTCTGAAATATTTTAATATTAGCAATTATTCAGATTCCTTGAGGACAGAATCTATATCCTTAGTACTATATTATTCTATACATTCTATATCCTTAGTACTCAGCATAGGGTCTAACACAAAGTAGGCACTCTGTCATTGTTTGTTGATAGAGCAGTTATTGAAGGCATTTTACCAAATCCTTGAATGTAATATTCTGCCCAATACGACCGTCTTATTTTTTCGCAGAATAGGATATTGATGCATATGCAGTTTGGTAAAAATATAATATAGTTCAGATAGACTCAAAAACTCTACAGAAATGCCTCTATTGACCATTTTTACCTGTCAAAATGACACAAAAACGTGATGCAACTTAATAACTTCATTTGGTTTTATAGCATTTATATTTTTCGGGCATATCCATGTATAATGCCTAGTTATTACTGTGAGTTAGGTTAAGTCTAGGAGCATGTCCATTTTACAGATAAAGCCCAAAGAGGTTAAGTGTCTTCCCAAGGTTTCCCAGTGTTGCTGATAGGGCAAAGGTTAAAACCAGTTCTTTTGCTTCAGTTAGCTCATTCCATCGTCCTTGCCAACAGCCCTAGATGTAATATAAAATTCTTTTTCCCAGCCTTTTCAAATGTGATGCTCCTTGAATGGTCATCAGATTCTGTGTGATCATCATGTTGAAAAGGATGGCTGTCACTTTAAGAGCTGATGGACCAAGATGCAGTTTGAACAATGAAAATGCTTTTTTTTTTTTTTTTTTTTTAAATGCAGAGCAATAGGGAATGAAGCATCAAAGCCAAATCATTATTCAAACCATTTAATAGGCCAAAAGCGCCAAATTCCAACAAATTTTGCAATCCCCCCCATCTAAAAGTTGGAGTCATTTTTAAAGAGGTTGCCAAGACATTTGTATTGTTACTATCCATCCACACGCTTGATAAGTTTCAAAAATTACATTATAGAAGATTTTCCACACTTATCCTCCAGGACATTTTCAACTGTCTAATTTTATTTCTTGCCCACAGACAACTGGAGTTAATTTACATAAACTATTTCTCCAAGTCATAAACCATTTAAATATTTTTTCCAGAAGTAATCTTACTGCTTTCTGTTAAAATATATATATACACACACACACACACACATGCGCGCGCACACACACACATACACGGAACAATCTCAATGACATCTGGTTTTTTCGGGAAGGGACATAATTGTTGAATAAGAATACAAATTATTTTCATCAAAAAATCTGATTAAACCTCATGGAAGTCTGGCATAGTGGAAATAAAAAGCTAAATAAAATCTTTTAGGACCAAAAAATCAAATAAATATGGAACTAATGAACAGTTCTTCACATTTTATCTAAATTGTGAGCTGTTTTTACCCCCACAGAGATTTAAATTAGTGATTACTTGAACTAATTTCACCCAGATCTTGAGTTTGCATTTTGTTATGTCTAACGGCTGTCAAACTCTAACCTAACTAAAGTTTTCAAAATAGACTTGTTCTGTGAATAGTAGAAATCAAACTTTTAGAGTCTATTTTTAGGAAGAAACTTGAAATAGATATAGTATTTCCTAAAAAATACCCTAATACTCATTTCAAATTTCTTCCCCAAAGTCTACAAGTACCACTGTATCTTCTATGACAACTACATCCGCCAGGTAATTACATATGAAAATACCATCTCTCGAGAACAACTCTTCTATAAGCCACTCTTCTTAAATAGTCAATGGGACCAGGTGCAGTGGCTCACGCCTGTAATCCCAGTACTTTGGGAGGCTGAGGTGGGGAATCACCTAAGTCAGGAGTTCGAGACCAGCCTGACCAATATGGTGAAACCCCATCTCTATTAAAAATACAAAAGTTAGCTAAGTGTGGCTACCTACTCGGTGGGATGAGACAGGAGAATTGTTTGAACCCGGGAGGCAAAGGTTGCAGTGAGTTGAGATGGCGCCATTGCACTCCAGACTGGGCGACAGAGCGAGACCCCATCTCAAAAAAAAAAAAATGGTGGATGATATCCTGGGGCTACGGATGGAAGAAGAGGCAGAAGGAGAAACAAGCACCTTCTGAGCCACCTGATGGCTTGATTCAGGGGACTTACTTTTATAAAACATTTGATTTGGAATACACACTTGGAAGATGTTTCAGCTCTAAAGGAAAAGCAGCATTAACGTACCATAGCATTTTTTTTTTTCTGAGGAAAAAAAGGTGAGAATTCGGAGGTTGCCACATGGGCAAGCGGGCAGCCAAGCAGCAAGCCACTTCTGTGTACACTGTAACAATACTCGAAAGTTCTGCCATCATCTTCGGGTGTGCATTGTTGCTGCAAAAGTGACTGTTCCCATTGTGTTGCTTTATTTTGCTTTTAAAAAGCAGCATTCCAGTTACCATGCACTTCACAGTTCTCTCACTCATCCTGTTCCACCCTGAAATCGTGTTGCTTATGCATCTCTGGGAGTGGAGCTAATTATATACAATCTACATGGAATCACCCAATTTTAAGAATTACCGCAGGTGGTGCAGCATGCAAGTAACTATGTGCACATAGAAAATAACTTTTTACTATCAATCAGTTTTCCTCCTGCTCCATTGTAATGTATGGCACTGAGGAGTTAACATGGCATCCGGATTGGAGCAGGGGGCAGGGGGACAGGGGAGAGAAGGACAGGGAAGAGAAGGAGGTGCTAAAACTCCCCTTTCACTTCGTTCTTATTCTCTTCAGGGTCTGCCGGCCCTCACATAAGCCAATCCATTCTCCATCTCCTTTAAGCAGACATATACTGCCTCCTAAGTATAGGATGCCTTGTCGTAGGTCACAAGATGTGAGTGTTCATATGTGTGTGTATGTTTGTTTCATTCACTTAAAAATATTTATTGATTATCTATTATAAATATGTTAGACACATTCTAGGCAATGGAGATACAAACATGAAAAAGAAATATAAGGTCTCTGCTCTCACAGAGCTTGTATACTTCATAGAGGGAGAAAGATAATAAGCAACGGGAAAAATAAGCAAGATCATTTCAGAGACTGTAATTAAGCCATTTAATTTACACTGTGCTATGATTTCTCAGGAATCGTTTTACATACAAATAAAAAATCTAACCTACAAATTGTTTTCATATGTAATGAAGCTTTTATGAATAAAATTTAAAAGATTAATAAGACTGACATGTTACAGTATGTAGACACTTATTTAAGCTTTTATTTTACTTTGCAATTTCTTTTTCATATTTTTGGAGCCATTAGTTCCTTTTCTTGGTCACAAACATTTATGTAGACTCTTTAAAAGAACCTAGAGCTTTGACACTGTGTTCATAGAGCCCGGTGAATAAGCAGACTTTTCTTGAGTTATATCAAGGTCTGTACTACATACTGAGATTTACTACATACCAGAGAATCTCAACCTTCTTTCTAACACAGGGGCTCATCAGAAATCATAAAGTGGTTGGTGCTTACTGAAATAAGTATACGTATGGAAAGTCCCTAATGGGAATAGAGCCCACTACTGAAATTGGATTGAAAATTACTGCACTATACATAATGACTGCAATTTTATAGTGACTTTCATTAAAGTGTCATTTTTTCTTTTTTACTTACACATTAATCAGTGTTGAAAGGTTAAATTGTAGCATCCTAAACTGTTGCTTCAGCAAGGGAGAACAGTTCATGATGTTGCACAGGAAATGTCATGACTATCACAGAACTACCAGTAGGAGAATTTATTTTCAGTGATGCTTCCTACTAAAAGTAGTTTTAACTCACTACTTATCACAACAGCACTCAGAAAAAGACAAAGAAGGTAGACACCCAGGAAGAAAGACAGAAAGCTTAAAAGGCCACAGGCTAGTTCAGAGAGATAAATCAGCTGTTTGGTTCTAGAATGAGTCACACACTAGCAGTGAGACTCTGGATAAGTTACTTGACATCTGAGTCTCAGTTTGCATATCTGTAAAATGAGGATAAATTATCATTCTAATTCATGGAGTTGTGATCACTAAGTGAAGTGACACATGTAAGCACTCTGCCCAGTGTCTGTCCCAGGAGCTCAGTGAATGTTAGCTGTTAGCAGGGAGAGTGGCAGCACTAAGCAGAAAACAAAGTCTTTTGGGGACCAAAGAACAAAGTAGGTAGTTGGCTTTTTGCAGAGTATATTACTTAGAAATTCTGATATCAAAACTTAGTATTCGGAATAAATTTTGAGAAAAATGTAGAACCTGACAATGTTTTTCATAACTAATAATTAGAATTGTAAAAAATAAGTAAGAAACTCAGAAATGACTTAGGTTTGAGAAAGACAGGAAAAAGTGCAGTCTGGTTTCTTTTACGTTAATTATTTATAGAGGAGAAAATGAAAATAGTTATCTAAGCCATCAAGATGTCAGAACACCCCTGGGTATACGTTAATTAACAGAATTCTAACATGCACATAGTTGTCATTCATTCTCAACTAATCCTTACAATGTGTCTTTAAAGGTTTGATTCAAAAATTTCTTCATGTTATTGTAATTGACAGAAGCTTGGCCTGAATAAAAACTTCTTGGTACCCAGGTGGCTCTGGCATCAACCAGGCAGGTTTTTTAGCTGGCCCTACTGCATTCACTTTATACTCGTCATCCTTTTTCATCTGTTCATTTTACAGATGAGGAAACTGACATCCAGTAAAAGATCGCATTAAACATAAGCCTGGTAGTAGAACCATAATAGAACCCTGGATTCATGACAGCTTCTGAGGACTCTGCCCATCTTCCTTGATTAGCTCCAGAATACAGAAGCAATCCTAAAAATGCAAGTAAGCATCCTCAAGAAGTCAGGAATAGATTTTTCTAAGGTTATGCTGACTTCATGAACATCAGTCAGGATAGACCACAACTTCAAGCTACATGGGAAGATTATGACTCTTGAAAAACAGACTTCAGAGCATCATACATCGAACCTACCTGAAAACTGGGTGTGTACCTCCAGACAGGTCCGGGAAGCCATCCAGACATTCATGTACATTTTTTATGTGTCAGCTGTTGCATGGGTATTTTGAGAAGCACTTTGAGAAGTCACAGCAGGAATCTAGCTTTTGTGTTCTGAAAGTACCAGCTTTATTGCAGCTCAAACAAAAATAAAAAGGAAACAGCGTCATTACCCGGCAGGTTTTTCAGTATAGTTCCAGCAGGGTTCTGTCTTTTCTAGCTCCAACATGCTTACCTCCCCAGTCTTGTGAAAAAGAATCTATCTTGGCAGAACCTGAACCAAATATGAAACACAGTTTCAACATTTTCCTGCCATTTTTCCTGAGAAGTACTTTCATCAGAACATTTTGGTTTGCTGAGAACATGTGTACTTCTTCTTTTGAGAGACAGAACATTCTTTTATTTGGTGACCTCAAGAGGCTTTTTACCTTCAACTGGAGGTGGGGAGGAGGGAAATGGAACTCCAATGGATAGGTAATTGTACCTCTCAGCCACACACTTTCTTGCTGAGCTACATAATGGTTCATGAGCTCTTAAAAAACTGAGACTTGTAAAAGTGTTCCCAATTGTTAGTTCAAGGTCTGTAGCCAGCTTAGAAATTGTTAAAATGTACAAAATGAGAAAAAACAGCAGGGAAAGAAATTCTAGGTCATGCTTTTATGAGCTGCTTGACAAAAAAAAAAAAAAAAAAAAAAAGTTTTTTCAGAGGATGGGAACAATTTCAATGTTCAGTTTTCTACACCAGTGGGATTGTGAGGCAAAATATGTATATCTCTGGTGCAGGTGAGTCAATGATTAAAGAGAGTTTAATTCTAGGCCCCATCACGTGTCAATACAGTAAATGGTATGTGATTCTGCCAAATACCAGAAATCCTATATTGTATAGGTTAAATCTCCACATTGTATTCTGCTTTGTAATAACTAGTTAGGAAAAGGCTTTACAGTTGAGGTGAGAGACAGGAAAGAAAGTGAGGAGTATATTAAATTTTCAGAAGAGTCCTAACATATCTTAGGTAAACTTGAGGAAAAATATTGTAATGCCCATAGAAAATGACATACATGAGTGAGAGGATGGTGTCAGGTCAAGATGTTCTGCTGTGCTAGGGCACAGGGTCATCACCAGCATTGTGTAGTATGCAACATGGTTCTCCCATTAAGCAATGCAGAGTCTAATATTTGCCCAACCAAAACACTGCTGTCACTCTGAATCTCTTCCTTCCACCCCGTCTAGTTGTTTGACTTTTTCTGATTAACTTCTAGTCACCTCCCAGATCTCAGCCCAAACATCACTTTCTCAGAGAAGCCTTCTCTCACATGGTCCTGGTGGAGCTGAGTCTCTGTAATATACTCTTTCTAGCCCCATAGAGCACATGTCATGGTTGATTATATTTGTGTGAGTATGGGACTGATGGCTGTCTCCCATCGTCTCCTCAGAGCTACCACAATGTTCAGCTTGATAGCAAATCTTTAAAAGATGTTGGTTAATCAAAGAATAAAGGTAGCAATGAATAAACAAGTAAGTTGAAGGAACAGAATAGAGAAACTGGAGTGGATGCACTTCCTACTGGGACGAGAGGAAGAAGCCAACAATCTTGACTTTATTTTTAGATACAAAACAAACCACCCTATCATAACTTTCACAAACTATGCATAAAATTCAGCAAAATCGTTTTCTCTTTCCACTTCACTGAACTTATGAGGCATGTTGCCACTTTTCTGCCCATCTTAACATTAAGCACCACGCTCATCATTAAAACACACCACACTATATCAAGAAATGTAAGCCATATCTGATATGTGGGATAATTATTACATAATTGAGATTAATAGATCCCTGAGAAAGAGACAGAGAGAAATGACACAGCTGAGGCAGACACAGGGCCTACAGCCCTGCTCCTAGGGTGTCTCTGCCATAAACAGCAATAACACAAGCCCTCATATGCTGAACCACCCAGTGACACAACACAGGCCCTCTTCCTGGACCTACATTAGCCCAGTTTTTTACTGCACATTTTTAAAATGACTTCATTATTGAAGAGTAATATCTGTATGATAATGGATTCATGCCAAAAAACAATCATCTCCAAGGTCTTAAAGTCAGATGCTAAATGCAAATGGTAAAAACTGCCCTCTTTCTCTCCCATTCATTTTACTGCTCACTCCAACCTTTCCTCACACTCTTATTATCTTTCCTAAAAAGAAAAAGACTTTTTTTCTCCAAGTTAGGATTCCTTGTTTCATTGCTTTAGTCAGTGAGAAAAAGCTCAGGACTACATTCATGGCTATTCCCAGAGCTATTCTGTAATTCTTTCAACCATCACCTCTCCCATCTCCCCAGTGGCACAAGGCTCATCTGTTCCCTCCATCAGCTGCCTAGAGAAGACTGAAAGTGAGAGGAGATCACAATAGCAATCACGGGGAGCAGTCAATATCAAGAGTCCCAGTGATACTAGTAAAAACAGACATGGCTGATCCACAAGTCAGCAGTGACAGTCCTCACAACGATCTAGCTCTTGAAATGAGAAATGCTGGTATATCACTTACGGAGGTCTGATTTAATGCTCATTTAAGTGAACTACCCACTCCCTACTTCTCTTTTGGGTCTCCTTTGCAAAATCATTTGTAAAATAAAGGGCATAATTCTCAACTTCTTCACATATATGTAGCATTGCATTATGAATAACCATACAATTTCAGTACTTTATTTAAATTATTATGTGTTAGATTCCCTCTTGTTTCCTTTTGTCCTACAGACTCTGTATAGGCATACCTCGAAGATATTGTGGGTTGGATCCAGACTACTACAATAAAGAGAGTATAATAATAAGGCAAGTCACACAAATTTTTTGATTTACTTAAATTATATATACACTACATTGTAGTCTATTAAGTCTGCAATAGCATTAGGTCTTAAAATTTGTACATACCCTAATTTAAACATATTTTGTTGCTAAAAATGCTAACAATCATCTTGAGCCTTCAGTGAGTCATAATCTTTGTGCTGATGATGGTTCTTACCTCAATTATGATGACTGTTGACAGAGTGGTGGTTGCTGAAGCATGGGATGGCTATGGCAATTTCTTAAAATAAAACAATGAACTTTGGTGTATCTGTCAACACTTCCTTTCAGAAAAGAGTTCTCTGCAGCCTATGATGCTGTTTAATAGCATTTTACCATAAGAAGAACCTCCTTCAAAATTGGAATCTGTCCTCTCCAACCCTGTTGCTGCTTAATCAACCATGCTTATGTAATATTCTAAATTCTTTGCTGTTATTTCAACAATGTTCACAGCACCTTCACCAGGAACAGATTCCCCTCTAAAAAAACACTTTCTGGCCAGTTGCAGTAGCTCATGTCTGTAATCCCAGCACTTTGGGAGGCTGAAACGAGAAGGTCACTTGAGCCCAGAAGTTTGAGACCAGCCTGGGCAACACAGGGAAACACTCTCTCTCCAAAAAAAAAATCAATTTGCTGGGCATGATGGTGCATGCCTGTAGTCCAAGCTACTCAGGAGGCTGAGGTGAGAGGATTGCTTGATCCCAGGAGGTCAAGTGCGTGAGATGTGATTGTGCCACTACACTCTAGTTTGGGCAACATAGTGAGACCCTGTCAAAAAAAAAAATAAAGACAGAAAGAAAAGAAAAAAGAAACCAGTTTATTTGTGCATCCACAAGAAGCAACTCCTCATCACTCATCCATCCAAGTTCTATCATGAGATTGCAGCAATTCAGTCACATCTTCGGACTTCACTTATAATTGTAGTTCTCTTGCTATGTCCACCATATCTACAGTTACTTCCTCCACTGAAGTCTTCAACTCCCCAAAGTTATCCATGAGAGTGATAATCAACTTCTTTCAAACTCCTGTTAATGTTCATATTTTGACTTCCTCCTATGAATCACAAATGTTCTTAATGGCATTTAAAATAGTGAATCCTTTCCAGGAGGTTTTTAACTCACATTGCCAAGACCTATCAGAGGAATTAATATCTATGACTGTTGTAGCCTTGTGAAATGTGTTTTTTTAAATAATAAGTCTTGAAAATCAAAATTACTCCTTGATCCATGGGCTGCAGAATAAATGCTGTGTTATCAGGTGTAAAAGTAACATCAATGTCCTTGCACATGTCCATCAGAGTCCTTGGGTGACCAATTCATTATCAATGAGCAGTAATATTTTGGAAATAATCTTGTTTTCTGAGCATTATGTCTCAGTAGTGGGCTTAAAATGTTTAGTAAACAGTCTGTAAAAAGACTTGCTGTCACTCAAACTGGGTTGTTCTATTTATAGAGAACAAGCAGAGTAGATATAGCATAATTCCTAAGGAACTTAGGATTTTCAGAACGATCAATGAATATTGGCTTCAACTTGAAGTTGCCAGCTCCGTTGGCCCCTGACAAGAGAGTCAGCCTGCCCTTTAAAACTTTGAAGTCAGGTGGTGACTTCTCCTCTCTAGCTATGAAAGTCCTAGATGGCATCTTCTTCCAATAGAAGACTGTTTTGTCTATATTGATAGTCTGTTGTTTAGTGTATCCACCTTTGTCAATTATCTTTGCTAGATCTCTAGATAAGTTGCTTCAGCTTCTCCATCAGCACTCACTGCTTCACCTTGCACTTTCATATTATGAAGGTGGCCTCTTTCCTTAAACCCCATGAACTCACTTCTGCCAATTTTAAATTGTCTTCTGTAGCTTCCTCACTTCTCCCAGCCTTCAAAGAACTCCACAGGGGTAGGGTCTTGCTCTGGATTAGGCTTTGGCCTAATGTTGTGACTTGTTTGACCTTTTATCTAGACCACTAAAACTTTCTCTGTATCAGCAATAAAACTATTTCACTTTCTTATCATTTGTGTGTTCGCTGAAGTGGCACTTTTAATTTTCTTCGAAAATTTTTCCTTTGTATTCACAACTGTTTGGCTCAAGAGGCTTAGCTTTCAGCCTACCTTGGCTTTCCATATGCCTTCCTCACTAATTTCAATCATTTCTAACTTTTGACTGAAAGTGGGAGATGTGCCACTCTTCCTTTCACTTGAACACTTAGAGGTCATTGTAGGGTTATTAATTGGCCTTATTTCAATATTGTTGTGTCTCAGGGAATAGGGAGGCCTGAAGAAAGGGAGAGAGATGAGGGAATGGCCAACTGGTGGAGCAATTAGAATGCACATATTTACTTACTGAGTTTACTGTCTTATATGGGCACAATTTGTGATGCCCCAGGACAGTCATAATGGTAACATCAGAGATTGCTGATTACTGATCTGCAAAACAGATATAATAACAAGATTTGAAATATTGCAAGACTTACCAAAATGTAACAGATTGATGTGAAGTGAGCACCTGCTCTTGGAAAAATGGCAACAATAGACTTGCTCAATGCAGTGTTGCCACAAACCTTCTATTTCTTAAAAATTCAATATTTGCAAAGCACAATAAAGTGAAGTGCAATAAAATGAAATATGCCTGTAATTGTCATAGGTGTTCCAAAGCCTTATCTAAACCATTCATAGTTATGACAATCCAAAATATTTTTAGAATCTCCAGAAAGCTTGATTCATTCTCTACATTTTATAATCACAATTATATCTAGAATGTATCTTGAATATTATCCACAATGTTTATTTACAATACTCTCTTGTTCATTTATTTATCTGACTTTTTTTCAGTAGACAAAATATCCAGTCCCAGGAGTCACGAAAACCCCAAGTTTGAGCTCTACTCTGGTCGGTTGCATGACTTTAAAAATAGTACTTTATATCTCAGTAATTAAATTTTATACTCTACAAAATTAAGGGTTTAGTCCAATGCATTTTAAAGGTCCCTTCCAGTTTCAATATTTAAGATTTAATAATTACAATAATTGTTTACCTTAATGAGTGCCAGGCATTCTACTTAGCACCTAACATACTTTACCTCATTCACTCTTCCCAAAGTTCTATGAAATGAGTGCTATCATTATTGATATTTTACCAATGAGAAGACTGAGGCACAAGGAAGTTACATAACTTTCCTGAAATCACTCAACAGAAAGCATAAAGCTGGATAGAAATCCAGGTATGACTTATTCTACTCTGAACAACATCTAAATCAAAGGTCAGGTGAGTAGAGATTAAAAAAAATTACCCCAAATGTTAAATTCAGTCACTTCAGAAAATTTCAGAATGCTTGGCAATAACTCTAGTTATGAATTGCTCAATCACAAAGAAACAGGAAAAATATTTTCTGTCTCCAGCTATCTATCCCTCCTAAGCTGTATTCCATCAGCACATCAGCACATCTCCCCACAGACTCTCCCCCACCACGCACATCAGCTCTACCTAAATATACAGGCACATGTGCGTGCACATACACACACACATACACTGCTGGAAGAAGAATATCTACCTACTCTATGTCTATCTTAAAACACAGAATGATATTTTATATGTCAATCTTTATATAATAAGATTAGTGTGTTTGAAATTGGATTTGTATAGAGATAATGGAGCTTTTTATTCCATTTACACGGAAACACCTACAAAGACAGTCACACACATACAAAGTTAAGATCCTGCTTAAGATCTTGGAAGAATATGAAATTCAGAGAGTTAAGCCTGTCATTTTTGGGCTCAAATGACACTGGCAGCTGAAAGACTGAGTGGCATCTTTGACAGTCCTATAACATTAGGAACCAAATGTTGAGGTACAATAGCAAAGGATGTTGGCACTTAAAAAACACTACCCTTTAGGTAGGAATCCTGAAAGGACATACCCTAATGGTAATAATGAACCACAAATAAACAAGTAAAGATGAACTACAGACCAACTTTGCATCATTCAGATAGCTCAGCAAATCTTGTTCCTCAAAACTGAATTCTAAAAATCTTTTTTTTTTTTTTAATAAGAATGCTTTATTTTTTTTATTATTTTTTTTTATTTTTTATTTTTTATTTATTTTTTTTTTTGAGACGGAGTCTTGCTCTGTAGCCCGGGCTGGACTGCAGTGGCCGGATCTCAGCTCACTGCAAGCTCCGCCTCCCGGGTTTACGCCATTCTCCTGCCTCAGCCTCCGGAGTAGCTGGGACTACAGGCGCCCGCCACCTCGCCCGGCTAGTTTTTTGTATTTTTAGTAGAGACGGGGTTTCACCGTGTTAGCCAGGATGGTCTCGATCTCCTGACCTCGTGATCCGCTCGTCTCGGCCTCCCAAAGTGCTGGGATTACAGGCTTGAGCCACCGCGCCCGGCCTGAATTCTAAAAATCTTTAATTTTCATTGAACTGAAGCTAAAAAAGTCAGATAAAATTTTTCTCTCTGTATGAAGATAATATTATCCTAGACCTTTAAATTTTTACAAATTTTAAAATACCATGTTAAGTGTACCATCAAAAATAATTAGTTACATGTATAGAAAAGGCAATATGAATGAGAAATAGTAAAAATAACAGATAAAATATATATACCCACAGGGCTTTCATGTATTAGAATTATCTGTCACAGACTTTAAAATAACTGAAACATTTTGGCTCTGTGTCCCCCATGCACCCAAATCTCATCTCAAATTATAAACCCTGTAATCCCCATGAATTATAAACCCTGTAATCCCTACAGGTTGAGGGAGGGACCTAGTGGGAGGTGATTGGATCATGGGGGTGGTTCCTTCATGTTGGTCTCATGATAATGAGAGATTTCTCATGAGATCTGATGGTTTTAGAAGTGTTTGAAAGTTCCTCCTTCCTGCACTTTCGCTCTTGCCTGTGGCCACGTAAGATGTGCTTGCTTCCTCTTCTACCATGACTGTAAGTTTTCTGAGGCCTCCCCACCATATGAAACTGTGAGTCAATTAAACCTCTTTTCTTCATAAATTACCTAGTCTTGGGCAGTTCTTCACACTAGTGTGAAAATAGACTAATACAATAACTGTGCTTATAACAGCATAAAACAAATTGTGGCAAGAATTGATTATTAAAACATTGTATAGTCAAGGTGAAAAAGAATAAAATGGAAGCCCTATAATCAAAAAGTGTAATGGAAATTAAGAACTCAGTGCCTGATTTCAGTAGTAGATTAGACTTGGATGAAGACAATATTAGTGAATAGGAAGAGAGGTCAGAAGAAAATATTTA